GTGTGTGTGTGTGTGTGTGTGTGTGTGTGTGTGTGTGTGTGAGAGTGTGTGTGTGTGTGTGTGTGTCTGTCTGTCTGTCTGTCTGTCTGTCTGTCTGTCTGTGTGTTTATGTGCCTGTTTGTTAGTTTATGTCTGTCTGTCTGCATGTCTGTCAGTCTGTGTGTGTGTGTGTTTGTGTGTGTCTGTCTTTCTGTGTGTGTGTGTGTGTGTTTGTGTGTTTGTGTCTGTCTGTGTGTTAATGACTGCAGCAGTAATGACTGTGTGTTTGTGTGCAGATGTGAACGAGTGTGCGTTCAGGCCGTGTAAGTACAGGTGTATGAACACACCGGGCAGTTATAAATGCTACTGTCTCAATGGCTACATGATGATGGCTGACGGCACGTGTCGCAGTGAGTATTTCCAGTTACTTCCAGCAAACTAAAATGTGTGCCCTATTTTACACACTCAACATGCATTGATCACATTTATATAAATGTGGTATACTGTATATCATCTGTGATAACATGCTAAGTATTTTTTTTAAGAATGTGCGATCTGACATTATCAAGCATACCACAAAAACACAGAGAGAGAGAGTGCAGAGAGGTAAAAAAGCCTCTGTACGTCTTTTATATTTATATCTTTTAATCTATAACACGTGAAGAGTGCCATTTTTTGTTCTCTCCAGATTTCAGCATGATAACAAATTTAATATTTAATATTTTTTTATATATAACAAGTTTAAAGTTAGCACACAATATTGCCTGTTTTTGCTCAATTTCGTTAACGGATATAGTTCCAAACAAAGATCACAGCACAGTTTTGCATCTCTGAGCAACACAGGACGGTGTTTCCTTATTAAATGAATCAGCTTTTTGAATGAATCGGTTGAATGAATGATTCAGTGACTCTCTTATTAACACAGTCAAATGCTTCGTTCCTGAATGAATCCGCTGACTTGGTGGTTTTAATTTCACATTTCAACTATATTTTCATGTTTTAAATAATTTCAGATATCGGTATTCAACGTTTTATGTTTTAAACAAAACATTGTTTATGCATCTGTAACTGCATGTTAAATACATCCATGTCCCCTCTGAGATACTTTAAACTGTGTAAATACATCTAAATACCATTTCAGATGCAGACTCCAGAAATGTTTTCTTAGGCACTTAGAAGTCAAAAGATAAAAAACGTGAAATTTAATTTTGCATTCATTATATTCATATTTAGTTCTTAATTGTCATTAAAATAATGCAACAAAATAACACACAAATTCTTTAATTTTAAGGAATGTTCCAAAAGATTGTTTGAAGAAATTAATATTTGAGGTGAAATGTGAGCTGGATTATGTGAGATTCACTCACAACAATATTTAGTTCGACGCACATTAATGTCTTTATATTTTTATACATCATTCAGTCATAATTAGTGTTCAGTTCTTTCTATCCCTTACTGCACTCATGAAATGTTTCTTTGTAAATATGTTCAGTTTGTTGTACCAGATTGTATCCGAATGTGTATTTAAAGCTCTAAATGCTTCATAAACTCAAATCAAAACCTCTGTTGTTGATCATTGTGATTGATCTGATTGCAGCAGATTTAATGAATATTTAATTTTCCAAGGTGGTTATACATTTAGGTTATGAAAACATTATGGGAACATTGTTTTGAAAATGTTTCTAAAACGTTGAACGGTCCAGTTTTCTTGTCATGATGATAATGTTATTTAAAGGTTACAAATATGTTCCTTAAACGTTCTACTAATTGTATTTTTACCCAAAACATATCGTAAGGTTTATTAAGAATGTTAAACTGTCCAATTTTTTATGTGTTGTAATTAGAACGTTATTTAAAGATTACTAAAAATGTTTCTTAGAATGTTTAAGTACAAATAACATCACGAGGGTGTTCTGAGAATGCTGTTTACATCGTGATGGGAATGTATCAATCTCTCACTGTGTGTGTGTGTGTGTCTCTCTCTCTCTGTGTGTGTGTGTGTGTGTGTGTGAGTGTGTCTCTCTCTCTCTGTGTGTGTGTGTGTGTGTGTGTGAGTGTGTCTCTCTCTCTCTGTGTGTGTGTGTGTGTGTGTGTGAGTGTGTCTCTCTCTCTCTGTGTGTGTGTGTGTGTGTGTGTCTGTGAGTGTGTCTCTCTCTCTCTGTGTGTGTGTGTAGACGCTCGTACATGTGCGATGGCTAACTGTCAGTATGGCTGTGCGGTGATGAAAGGTGAGGTCAGGTGTCAGTGTCCGTCTCCAGGACTGCGTCTCGCTCCTGACGGCAGGACTTGTGTCGGTATGGATGCAGGATACACACACACACACACACACACACACACTCACACTCACTCACTCACTCACTCACTCACTCACAGACACT